GTTGAGAAGTGAACCGTTTTGTCTTGGGGTCAGCGGGCTGTACGGGTATCAGTCCTGCTGAGCATTTTATGGTTATTGGTTTGGCGTTGTCGGTGTCAGTTTGGGCGGTATATGCATCTGAGCATCATAGAGGGGCCGCAAGGGGCGTGGAGGTCTATCTTGCCGTTCATCCGTCTTGTGAGACGAGGCAGCGTGTAGTATTATGGGAATCGAAGCTTGTTTGTTCGTCTCCTGCGCTCCTGGGAGAGAGCCTCCGGAGCGTTGCCAAGAACGCGGTGCGCTCGCTGTCACTTGGTCCGCGATTCTCCAGATAAGAGTAGATCTGCTGTTCCTTCGTATTTCCGTCCTTCTTATCTTGAAGCCCGTCATCTAATACACAATGAAAAGGGTATGTACAGTACATGGGCGACATCGCCCCCAATATACACCTCCAGTCTTTGTATCCTACATATCATACACCCTATCTACCCTTGCTCCCACAACCTCAAGCCTTCGCCGTGGACTTGACCTCCTTATACGGATACGCAACATCAGCGTCCTTGAGCTTCCAGACCTGCCGGCGCTTCTTATTCACAACGTGCTCAACCCACACCTCGTGCGCATGCGTCTTCTTAAACTCCCGAATGTACCGCGGATCCCACAGCTCCGACGCAATGCCCAAATCCTTGCAGCAGCGCATCAGCGCATTCGACTTGCACCCCTCGCCGGCGGTCGGGATCGTCTCCTCGGAGAAGTAGCCGCACTCGCCGCGCGCTTCGGATACAAATCTGAACAGTGTACCAGTCAGTAAAACTCCCCAGCAGTCAAGAAAAGTTAGACCTACCGCCCATGAACCACCAGCGCATACTCCCTAGTAACCAACTTCTCCGCAATCACCAGCTCCCCCCTAGGCGCTAACCCCCATCCTCCGGGCCCAAACGCTTGGTTCAATATCCGCCGGTACTTGATCTCAGGGAGGTAAATGATCCCATCTGGCTTGATCTCCACGTCGCGCGGATCCAGAGGCTTCATGAGCACGGCGGCTGTCTCAGGCGGGAAGGGCATGGTAGAGAGGCCGTGGAAGGAGGATGCCCAGTTGATTTTGTCGGTGTTGCCGGGGTTAGGGGCGCCGCTGCTCAGGGCAGAGGTGAAGGATGGGGGGGTTGGGATCGCGGCGGAGAGGGAGGGGTCGATTTCGGTTACGTTGGGGCCGGAGGAGATGGCGGCTTGGGGGTCGACGGGGTTGGTGGAGGTGTCGGTTACGGGAAGGGGTTTGGAAGAGGGGGCGGCGGTGGTGGTCGCTGTTCGGGGTTTTGGCTTCCATTGTGTTGTTGACTTTGGTGCGGTTGAGGAGGCTGGTCGTATTTGGGAGGAGGGGCGGAGGGAGGGGCAGGAGCGGAGGGGCCGGAGGATTTGGAGGGCGCGGGACCGCATGGTTGCGGTTCGGGGGTGGAGATGGGTTTGGTGGTTGTTGACGGTGATGGGTTTATTGCTAAGAGGTCGTGAAATTTTGAAGGTTCGAATGGCGCAGCGGGATGGCTGGAGCTTGGGCCATCCGCCAGCAGGGGAAGGGAAAATTGTTAGCGCTCAGCGGGCTGGAGGTGGCGAGCTTCGGTCTTCGAGTTGAGCTCCTACGATGGGAGTTGATTTGAGATTTGGTATCAATACATGATTGAGTGAAGTAGAACTTTTGTTACAAGGTTATATAATCTCATGCGTCTTTCGTGTCGGTTCTCTCGTCGTTTCCCTGGGCTTTCCAGCATTGCCGAAACCTCTCCATCTGCCATCGCAGTTGCCGTCAGCAAAAGCACTTCGTCTCCATGCCTCAATGCCAAATCCTCGACTCACCTCTGCCTTGCAAAGCCTCCAGTCCTTTTTCTCATAATAACAGTCTGTCAACTTGGTATTTTCTTCTGCACGTCCTAGTGTCAGTCCAGCGCAATATCCCAATTGTTGAGCTCCGGAAACCTCCGGGGTGATCGTCTTGTTGGGCATTTCGGCATCCCGCGGCTTGCGAATAGCAAAGGGGGTCTGAAACATACCGGCACAGCCAGTGCTGAAAATGCGCTTGTCCCTGCAGTATTGTCGCATTCAGTGAGCGAGTTTTCCAGCTGAGCACAGGGGCACAAGGGATCCGCTGAAGACTCATCGAGAGCCGCGACGGGTCAGCAAAAAAAGCGCTCACCACTCATCGGGTTCATCATCCTCCTCCTCGGCCTGCGTTGTGGCAGCCGGTATCTGCTCCATCTGCTTTGGCTCGTCCTCTTCTTTTGACGCCGCTGAACCCATTGCGGTGGACTGAGGCTTCTGCTGCTTGGGTGGTTGTCTGGGGATTCAGCGGGAGCGCACAAATTTGCAGCAGGTTCGGTCATTTTACACTGACCAACACCAGCCCCTCCACCCCCTGACCCCGAGATGGGATCACGAAAACTCAACGTCCTGGTTTACACAGGTGAGCATACCCCTTCTGTCTTTCCCGATATGCCATTCTGACCCTCATAGGGACTGGGTCAACAATCGAGTCGGTTCGGCATTGCATGTACTCTCTGCGTCGACTACTCTCACCGAACTATGCTGTCGTCCCAATCACGGAATCTGCCCTCCTCAAGGAGCCATGGGCGCCGACTTGTGCCCTACTGGTCTTCCCGGGCGGTGCAGATCTTGGCTATTGTCGAGCCCTGAATGGCGCCGGCAACCGCAACATCACCGCCTTCGTCCGCCAAGGCGGTGCGTACCTCGGTTTCTGCGCTGGAGGGTACTACGGCAGCCAGCGATGCGAGTTTGAAGTTGGTAACCCCGAGTTGGAGGTTGTAGGCAGTAGGGAGCTTGCCTTCTTCCCAGGGACGTGTCGTGGGGGGGCCTTCAAGGGGTTCGCATACCACAGCGAACGCGGTGCCAAAGCTGCCAAGATCACCATCAACAAGGGGGCACTTTCAGGGGCTGTGGCACTTCCTGAGTCCTTCAAATGCTACTACAACGGTGGAGGGATCTTCGTCGCCGCAGATAAGAAGAGTTCCGACATCGAAGTACTTGCCGAGTACGAAGATGAGCTGGCTGTTGACCCTGGCAGCACCAAAGCCGCCGTCGTCTACTGCAAGGTGGGAGAAGGCGGTGTGGTCCTGACTGGTCCACATCCTGAGTAAGTCATCCACGCTGTCCACACACACACGTATCTAACTTGGCGCAGGTTTGCAGCTGCCAACCTTGGCAGGCATGGCGACATTCCCGGGTACGATGCCCTGATCAGTGACCTCGCGGCAGACGAAGATGCGAGATCGAGCTTCCTCAAAGGGTGTCTCGCGAAACTCGGTTTGGAAGTCACTCAAGAGGAGTATCCGGTCCCCAGCTTGTCCAAGATCCACCTCTCGTCCCTCAACCATATTGAGGTTGGAGAGTTGCTTCACTCCTTTGAGGACATCATCACGAGAGACGACGAAGAGGAATACGTCAAGGGGGAAAATGATCTCTTTCACCTGGAGAAACCCGATTCTCGATGGTCAATGACCGCTTTGAACCAGTCTCTCGCCAACGAATACCAGGAGAACAAAAAGAAGACAACGGGACGCGGCACCCCCGACCCCACAGCTGAGTACATCCAGATCCTAAAGTCAGTTGTATCGCACGAAACAGCCTGGCCTGAGCCTAAGGAGACGCCATGCTTCAACCATGCGGTCTTCTATTCGAGCCTCCAGGAGTTCCGACGGCTCGAGACGGAAGCAGAAGAATGGGGCGATTTGTTCATGTACGGCGAGGTTATCACCAGCACAAATACATTGCTCGAAAAGTAAGCACGCCCCCCTCCTCAAGCGGACGGTTGCTGAATCCAACTAGAAACCCAAAACTCTTGTCAAAACTCCCTACTGGATTTACTCTTGCCGCAACCACCCAAGTGGCAGGCCGTGGCCGCGGTTCCAATGTCTGGGTGGCGCCGCCTGGAAGCCTCCTCATGTCCACTGTGATCAACCACCCGGCTCACCACGCCGCAAGTCGTCCCATCGTCTTTATCCAGTATCTATCCGCCATTGCCACCGTCGAGGCGATCAAGTCCTACGACGTTGGACCCTATGCCAAACTCCCTGTCAAGCTCAAGTGGCCCAACGACATCTACGCGCAGGATCCCAACAAGCCGAATGAGGTATCATACGTCAAGATTGGAGGAATTCTATCCAACTGCTCCTACTCGGCCGGCAACTACCAGGTGGTTCTGGGGCTCGGTGTCAATACCAACAATGGGCGGCCGACCACCAGCCTTGATGCGCTGCTGCACTCGGTCAACAAAGATTTGCCCCCGTTCCAGATCGAGAGGCTGCTAGCACGCATCCTAACTCGCTTCGAGGTCCTTTACGCACGGTTTCTTCGCACCGGCTTTTCTAGAGAGTTGGAAATGAGGTACTACAAGCACTGGTTGCATTCGGAGCAGGTAGTGACGCTGGAGGCCGAGGGCGGAGTCAAGGCGAGAGTTATAGGTATTACCCTGGACTGGGGCATGCTGAAAGCTGAAGAAGTGAAGGAGGATGGCATCAACGGGACTTTGCAACCAACAGGGAAGATTTGGGCGTTGCAGAGCGATGAGAATAGCTTCGACTTTTGGAGGGGTTTGGTTAGACGAAAGTTGTGAGATAGAGTTGAGGTTCTGCACTAAGGTTGAGCTTCTTAAAGTTGAATACGGTTTGAATATCATTTAGCCAAACATCAAGTTGAAGATCCAGTACGAAGCACCAAACGCAAAGTCAGAACATGGGAATAGCCCCCACATGGGTAGGGCGAGTCACGGCACTCCACTAAGTTCAGAAGGAACCGGATGGCAAGCGCCTGTTCCTGTGGCATCCAGGCCAGTAGCGAAGCAGTACACAAAGGAAAACGCCCCGGCCCCACCCAAGCTCTGAACGCAAGAGCCAAGCCGCAACCTTAGGTCAATGCTCACTCCCAAACCTCAGATGACACCCGCCCATACTCCTGCACTATACTCCCAACCAGGGCCCAGCACCTTATCGGTTAGTTCTACCGCACCCATTCCCAACGGGCCCATGGTGCAGTGGTGGCACATTGTGGAATGGCCAAGGTGTGATCGGCTCCAAACAACAACAACAAACAACACTTCCCATCAACCATTCCACAAAGACCTCGGTTCGATTCCGAACAGGCCCATTCTTTTTGCTCTGCTTTTTGCTCGGTTTGAGTTGACAATGTATTGTCTTTTCTGCTACAATCGATTGTTTATTCGTTCATTTTGGACGGGTCAATCCAAGTCCCCCAACCATTCTGTCCCGACAGAACGGATAGTCAGTCGCAATGCAACTCTCGGACCTGAAACCCGAACCGCACTCTAGCCCTGTCGACGCCGATGAGTGGCGAAGTCGCATTAATTGCCGGCACTAATGGCATTATCCGTCATGCCCCACCCCTCTCACTCCTTCCAGAACGCGTCTTTTGACTCGAAAGAGAGGTACGCGTTTTTCAACCTCGACTCGATCAATCAAGAACCGATCGGCACCGCGGCTCACACGACAGAAGCATGGATCCGGTAACGATTATCGGCATTGCAGGCTCTGTCGTGCAGTTCGTTAGCTTCGCGTTTCAGCTGATTTCCAAGACCAAAGACATCCACGAATCGGCGGGACGGCAGAGCAAGGAGACGGCCAAGCTTGATACCGTATACAACCATCTCCTCACCCTGAGTTCGAAACTGGAAGTTTCCTCTAAGCGATATCCCAAGCTGGAACTCGACGAGGACGATGATTTATCGACGACAGTTATAGCAAAGCATGTCTTTGCCATCAATGATCTGTCCCTCTCCTGCGAAGCCGACTGCCAGAAGCTGTTAGACATCGTGCGAAAGTTGCAGAGCGTCAGTGCCTCGGGTGGGAAATGGGGGAGTTTCAGGGCTGCCGTGGCGACAATATGGAAGAGCAGCGAGCTTGAGGACCTCGAGGACAGGTTACAGAAGACACAGACGACATTGACGCTCCACATCTGCGCTTTGACGACACATTGGCATGGCATGTTTGACAGGCAGCTGCGAGAACTACGAAAGGAGGGCCTTGCTTTGGATGCTAGGCAGTCGACGAAGCTGGACAGCATTGCTGAGTCACTTGAGAACATCAAATTGCGCGTTGCCACTGCGCGCTCGTCGAAACACGGTGGGGGGTTTGAGCCGGGTGATGTTGAGTCTCTTGGGGATCAGCTTTCACGACTATCGTTGTTTAGAGAGACCGCTGCAAGGGAGCATCTGATACTCAAGTCTCTTAGCTTCGACAGCAGGCCAGTTCGCCACAGCTCCATTCCTGCGGCCTACAGTCGAACCTTTGATTGGGCATTTGAGAGCGAGGAGCTCAACGGCTCCGGGTCAACAACGAACGGGGGCAGTCCCACCGTTGAACTTATCGATTGGCTCAGGGGCGGACAGGACATATTTTGGATTTCTGGGAAGCCTGGCTCGGGCAAGTCTACCTTTATGAAGTTTCTGGCTGACCACCCGAAGACGGAGGAAGCTCTGGCTCGCTGGGCTTCTCGAAACCGACTCATCATCGCCAGCCATTACTTCTGGAGTGCCGGAACAGCAATGCAAAAGTCCAGACAAGGACTGCTCCAAACCCTCCTCTACGAAATCTTCCGCCAACTCCCCGGCCTGATCGAGACCGCTTGCGTCGAACGATGGCCCAAGACACCAGAGGATATTAACCATGAAGTTTGGCTGCTGCCAGAGCTGCAGCGGGTCGTTCAGCGTCTCGCTGACCTGGACATGGAAGTCAAGTTTTGCTTCTTCATCGACGGTCTAGATGAGTTTGAAGGTGACCATGTCGACTTTTGTCGCAGTCTCCTCGATATCACAAAATCACCACATATCAAGCTCTGCGTATCCAGTCGGTCGTGGAACGTCTTTGAGGACGCGTTTGGCCGAAGTCAATCTTCAAAGCTGTACATGCACGAGCTTACACACAACGATATCCGTTCCTACGCCGAGCGGCGCCTGCAGGAACATCCCCGCTGGAGCGAACTATCCGCCGAGGTCTCCAACGCCGACTGCCTAATCGATCAAATTGCCGAACGCGCAGCTGGCGTCTTCCTCTGGGTGTTTCTCGTAACCGGCCAGCTCCGAAACGGCCTCACCGAGTACGACAGCTTCTCCGACCTTCAACGCCGTCTAGAACGCGTTCCCGACGATCTCGAAGCTTTCTTCAGGCAAATACTCGAATCCGTCGAGCCCTTCTACCACCAAAAGATGGCCACCACCCTCCTAATCTCCCTCGAAGCCACCGAGCCCGCTCCCATCGCCGTCTACGGCTTCCACGACGCCGAATACGAAGACCCCAACTACGCCCTCAAACTCCACTTGGAACCTCTCCCCAAGTCCCAACAAGCCGCCAAAAATAAGCAAACCGCCCGCCGTCTCAGCGCCCGCTGCCGCGGCCTCCTCGAAACAACCAAAGGCTCCAAAGTCGAGTTCCTCCACCGCAGCGTAATGGACTTCCTCCGGACAAAGGGCATGACCTCCTTCCTATCCGACAAGGCCCCTCCAACCTTCAACCCCCATCTCTCCCTCATCCGCGCCTACACAGCCTACACCAAAACCACGCGCTTCCCTCAATCCATCGAACGGACTTACTTCGCCGAGCACACCCCCTCCCCATTCACCTCCGCCCTCCGCGAAATCCTAGCCCATGCGCAAGTCCTCGACACCACTCCCCACCCTGAAGAAACTCTCTACCCCCTCCTGGACGAACTAGACACATCCATCCCGCAAATGGAACGTAAATCCCAAATCCGCATAAACGCCCTGGGCGATAACTCCAACACCGCCCTACTCGTGTACCGCGAACTCATTCTAGACTCCCACCTGGTAAACTACCTCGATTACCGACTTCCCCTCGATGCGGACTACTTCCGGCCGTTTAAAGGACCGGTACTGTCGAATTTCGTAGCCACGCTAATGGGCCGCTGCGTGGATCCGGGTGTGGTTTTTGAGGATAGTGTCAGGGTGATGAGGTGTCTCTTGGGGAATGGGTGTAATCCGAATGAGAAGTATGCGGCAAAGCAGAGTGGGGGGATGCAGATGATGACGGATGTGGTGAGGACGCCTTGGAAGGGGACGGTGAGGACGCCGTGGGAGGATTTGGTGGCTTGTGAGTGCTTTCTTTCTTTTTTTTTTGGGTGGGGGAGGGGATGGGTTAGTGGTGGAGGGGGAAGGGGGAGGGGGAAGGTAGAGGGAGGTTATGAGCTGATTGTTTTGTGTTACAGGGCCGGCGGGTAGGTGTGCTAATACATGTTGTCGAGAGATGCCGGTTGCGAAGAGAGAGTCGAGGAGGGCGGCGTTGGAGGAGGTTTTGGGGATGATGTTGGAGCATGGGGCGGATAGGAGTGTTTGGCCGGGGACGGAGACACCAGAGGTACGTTTTATTCTGAGAAAAGGGGCGAGAATGGAATTGCTGACGTTGGGCAGGAAGGCTATATCCAGGCGAAGGTGTTGCTGATGATTGGGACGGCGCAAAAGAGACGATCGGACTCGAGCGATGATTCGGATTCGAAATCTCGAAAGTCAAAGAGCCGTCGTCAGCCATGAGGCATGGTCTGAGGCAAGAGGATTACGCTATCTTGATCCCTGGTCAGGGATGCGCATGGTGTCCGTTCGTGTTATGGAGATCGAACCATCTCGTAATCGGCCACGCCTACCCTTGAAAGGAGGTTGAGGTAGTAGCTAAAACTCAGCTACATTCTTGATTTCTCAGACCCAAAACGAAACTCCCACTTCTATATCTGGGACGGGGTTGCATCCCATGTGTGTCCAGGGGGTTGGTTGCACGGGTGGTCGAAGCTGTGGCGTTGTCACCATATCAGAGGTCATCTATCCATCCAGACCACCAAAACCTAATATTCGGCATTCTAAAATGATTTTACGTTAACTCCATTAACTGCCCCTGGTTTCGATTCGTCACTGTCGAGCTTCTTACTCTCAGTCTTCCCTCGAGTTGGATCCTGCCGGGGGTACTTAAGTCAAACTTTCAGGGCAGGCTCTTGCAGGTCACCTTTGGTTTCGGGATGGACAAGTCAATAAATCAAATGTGACCTACTTTTTTTCCATTCTTTTTTTTTCCCTTTCACGCTTTGGATTCGATTCGTCGCTGTAGGAGTCTTCACTTCACCTCACTCGGCTATCAGAGAAGCTCAAGCGCCACAGCTCCGGTTGTCAACTCTGCTCTGCATTCACATGCCTCGCTTTAGGCGCTAGGACATGTATCCATCCTGATACCCAAAGCCTCCCCCGGCTGCCGATTACAATCAAGGATCGACGTATTTCGGCTCGAAACCCACCCCGTGCGTCAACTTCGCGGGCTCCTTGATGTCCTTGATATTATGGTCGTTCAAGACCCGGAGGTTGACGGGACGCCAGGGCGCCATCCTCTTCCGCCGCCTCTGTGCAGCCTCCGGCAACGCTGCTTCCTCTTCCTCAGTCAACTTGACGCCATCGTTGGTAAAATGGACACCGCAAGTCTTGCAAAAGGTCTTGGCCAGCACGCCAGAGCCGAAGCTGTATCTTCCGAGGTTCTCCTCTCCTTGGAGAGCCACTTGCTCGACCTTGGTGTAGAGCCAGATGTAGCCGTTCTGTATTGTGCTGTGTTAGCTTGGCTCGGGGAAGGGAATGGAGGTGCATGCCTTCAAGCAGATACTGCAGGCGCACTCGAGGACATCACCGGGATAGTCTTTGTCAAGGGGAGCGGTCTTGACAGCCAGGGTAACAGCGCCGCAGTGACAACTCCCGTAGTAGATTCTGCCGTCCTCGATCTCGGCTGTTGGTTCCGGACCTGTGTACTTGGGTGCTTGATGGGGAGCTCCCCAGCCAGCACCGTCGAGGCTGCCGAGCTGTTAGTTGACGAGCTGGGGAAGTATTTGGCGGCGTCAGTTTTGCTCACGGAATGATTTCCAGCTCCCAGGGGTTGATCTTCTGGATGGCGCGGACCTTGGCAAAACACATATAAGAATGGATAGGATATGGGTACAACAAGATATTGGGCCCAGGGGCATACATTCAGACTCAACTGTTTCCCCGGTGGGGCGCCTGGAGCTCGACACATAATGGGCGTCGCACAGGTAGGACAGAACTGTGGCAGTCAGCTCCGGCTCTGCAGCTTGATCCAGAGGTGCGCGCGTCA